GGTAGTGGACATTTCCTTCCCGTACAACTGCATACCAGACCGTTGCGTACCGGACATTTGCTTCCCGGACAATTGAGTACCAGATTGTTGCGTAGTGGACATTCGTTTCCCGGGCAATTGCGTACCAGAGAATTGCGCTAAGGACATTTGATTCCGGACAACTATGTACCAGAGAATTGCGCTCTGGACATTTGCTTCCCGGACAACTGCTTTCCAGATAATTGCGTTCAGAATAATTGCTTCCTGATAAACTGCGTACCAGAGAATTGCGTACTGGACATTTGCTTCCCGGACAACTGAGTACCAGACAGTTCCGTAGTGGACATTTGCTTTCCAGACAACTGAGTACCAGACATTTGCATTGTGGACATTTGCTTCCCGAACAACTGCGTACCAGACAGTGGCGTATGGACATTTGCTTCCCGGACAACTGAGTACCAGACAGTTGCGTAGTGGGTCATTTGCTTCCAGAACAATTGCGTAGCAGACAGTTGCGTAGTGGACATTTGCAACCCGGAAAACTGCGTACCAGACAACTGCGCAGTGGACATTTGATTCTCGGACAACTGCGTACCAGACAGTTGCGCTCTGGACATTTGATTCCTGGACAACTACGTACCAGAGAATTGCGCTCTGGACACTTGCTTCCCGGACAACTGAGTACCAGACATTTGCGTAGTGGACATTTGCTTCCCAGACAACTGCGTACCAGAGAATTGCGTACTGGACATTTGCTACCCGGACTACTGTGTACCCGACAGTTGCGTAGTGGACATTTGCTCCCGGACAACTGCGTACCAGACAGTTGCGTAGTGGACATTTGCTTCACGGACAACTGAGAAACAGATACTTGCGTTGTGGACATTTGCTTCCCGGACAACTGTGTGACAGGAAGTTGCGTAGTAGACATTTGCTTCCCGGACAACTGCGTAACAGACAGTTGCGAAGTGGACATTTGCTTCCCGGACAACTGCGTACCAAACATTTGCGCCGTGGACATTTGATTCTCGGACAACTGCGTACCAGAGAATTGCGCTCTGGACATTTGTTTCTCGGACAACTGCGTCACAGACAGTTGCGTACTGGACATTTACTTGCCAGAATACTGAGTACCACACAGTTGGGCAGTGGGCATTCGCTTCCTGGACAACTGGGTACCAGAGAATTGCGCTCTGGATAATTAATTCCCGGACAACTGCGTAACAGACAGTTGCGTACTAGACATTTTTATCCAGGACAACTGAGTACCGGACAGTTGGGTAGTGGATATTTGCTTTTCGGACAACTTCGTACCACAGAATTGCGCTCTGGACAACTGAGTACCAGACCGTTGCGTAGTGGGTCACTTGCTTCCAGAACAACTGCGTAGCAGACAGTTGCGTAGTGGACATTTGCTTACCGGACATCTGCGTTCCAGACATTTGCGTAGTGGACATTTGATTCTCGGACAACTGCGTACCAGACAGTTGCGCTCTAGACATTTGATTCCCGGACAACTATGTACCAGAGAATTGCGCTCTGGACACTTGCTTCTCGGACAACTGAGTACCAGTCAGTTGCGTAGTGGATATTTGCTTCCCAGACAACTGAGTAACAGACAGTTGTGTAGTGGACATTTGCTTCCCGGACAACTGAGTACCAGTCAGTTGCGTAGTGGGCATTAGCTTTCCAGTCAACTGAGTACCAGACATTTGTGTAGTGGACATTTGCTTCCCGGACAACTGCGTACCAGAGAATTGCGCTCTGGACATTTGCTTCCCGCACAACTGCGTACTAGAGAATTTCACCCAGGATAATTGCTTCCCGCACAACTGCGTGCCAGACAGTTGCGTAGTGAATATTTGCTTCCCGAAAAACTGCGTACCAGACAGTTGCGCTCTGGACCTTTGCTTCCCAGACAACTGAGTAACAGACACTTGCGTTGTGGACATTTGCTTCCCGGAGAACTGAGTAACAGACACTTGCGTTGTGGACATTTGCTTCCTTGACAACTGTGTAACAGGCAGTTGCACAATGGACATGTGAGTTGTGAAAAGCCATGCGAAACGTCACGAAAGGACACGACGCTTAAAAGAACACCCGATGAACCATGAACAATCGAAATTCCTAATCTGTCTCTGAATCTTTATCGGTAACCCTTTCTTGGCCTCATGTTTTCCAATGATATGAAGTGGAGCGACTACATCGAATCAATAGCTGCATCTACTGCTAGGATTGCTGACATATCTGGTCTGCTGCTCCTGCTACTTATCTCGAGATTCTTGACAAAATTCAAAGAAGTGTTTAACATAATCTACCTGACTTGGCATCTCGACTTCAGTCACTTCCTCACCGACCTAACGTGACTTCCCTCTGTCTTTTCTAGACATATTTGCATGGCAACTGTTCTGACGAGCTTTTTTCCCTGGTGCATCGATTACATGAATTTAAGCGCGCTACTAGATTGGCAACTAGATCCTACCTTTTTACTGTTGAAATAGTTAAATGTAACCGCCACTTCTACTCTAACAGTTTCTTTTGTTGCACTTCCCGCCTGTGGAACTCCCTTCCGTTTACTTGCTTCCCTGATAACTACAATCTTAAAAAATTTGAATGCATCATTAATCGCCATCTTTTGTCTTCTTGAACGCTGTTCCTTTTCTGTCCTTTCCTCAATCATCCTTACTAAAGTTTTCTCATTCTCTTTCACTCTCCGTAAAGACTTCTAGTGGAAATATTATTATCAGCGAATTTGTTTATACGTCTACGTCATGGAGGAACGGCATAGTGGATTTACATTTTACAGCTTCTCTCGAATCTTGTTTTCTTCTTCAGGACATAGGCAACCATAGCTCCCCACAATTCCTATCTCGCATAGCTTCTAGTACTTTCTCTCCCTTTGCTAAAGATAACACATACCAAGTCAGCACTTGTTCCATTGTTTGTAAGGAAGTTTTTTTTTTCCGATTCTCAGCACATCGCATATCCTCTGGAATGCTTCAATTCTCAAATCAACAATTTATATTTATTTCAAATATCGATGGGAGTTTCCCTCCGGTCCTTTTGTTTTGGTTGTTTGGAAACTTAACGTCTTGATTATATCTTTATTTTCATTTCTAGTTACGTGTTCCCAAGTTTTGTGATTTTTGCTGTTTATAAGTTAAATGGCTCAAGTAAATGTATCGCTGCCTTCCCTATCTCTCTTTCCTTCAATATACCCTGTGAGGGTTAAATTTTCCAAGCCCTCTTTCCTCATTATTTGTTCAAGTAGGGGAGATTTTCCAATATTTATTGCCATATAAGAGGATGCATATCACATCGCTCTAATTTGTTTATTTCAGCAATTTTTTCCCTTTACTCAGTATCTTGCTTAACTTTTGGAATGCTTCTTTCAAAAGAAGGCTAGTTCGAATCTCGGCGTTGCATTTTCCATCCTCTGTTAAAACGCTTCTTCGATATTTTAACTTCTCCGCCTGCTTGGTGTTGATATCTCCAAATTCGTAACTCGCATCTACACTTTTTTATTCTTGCTGATGGCCATACTTTCCGTCTTCTTGAACTTGGATGTTAGTCTTTTTTTTTTCTAGCTTTCTTTTACCAACCTGTATGTGAGGTTCTGTAATTTTCTTTTCAAACACAGTGTCATCTGCATGTCTTACATTGTTAACAGTACCAATATTTTTAGTCCATCACTCTATTCCTCGTCTACAAAAGATGATATATAGCACTAGGAATATCGTATTTCGCCAATCTTTCAAGTTCTAAGAACTTACATGCTGAGAAAATCAGCATTCGAAATCATGATTGCTAACCTCTGGCAATGATTAAAAATACCCATTTCAGCCACGAGGTAAACTACAAAAAAAGCATTGTTTGGCAGAAGGTCACGAATGTGGAGCATACATTTGCAAATTGCTCTGTAAGTTATATTCGTTAACCATTACGCTAGCAAGCATCTGGTATTAATAAATCAGCTTAAGTTAGTCTGACTAAATTATAATACTGATTTATTTGCTTTTTTATGGCTTTGTAGATTATTTTAAGTTGAAAAAAGCCGGATTAGAGGAGATTGCTTACAGTGTTCCCAAGCGGTCTCCCATCTAATTACTGATCGGTATCTACGCTGGTTAACTTCGCTGATCGAACGAGAACCGGTGTTTTCAGTGTGATTTGAGCGTAGGTAGCACGCATTAAGAATTAAGCACCAGAAAGTTGCGAATTAGTCTGCGAGTCGAGTTTGCTAAAAATACGCACTGGGAGAACGCTCAACCTGCAACTCTTCTCTTGCTAGTATTTTATGTTTTCTCGAATTTCGACAACTTTTCCTATTTCTTCCACCCTCGCATCGACAAGTGAGTCGAAGGCGAGAGTGGAATGTAAGTGTGTGCGGCGAAAGGTGGGAAACGAATATGTGGGGGAAGGGCGCTTGATTTTGGAAGCTCTATAGAATTTAGTTCTACTCAGGTAGGGTGTCAGTTAGATCTGTCGAAGCACTTACGGGGAGCGTTTAGTGGCAGTGCATTAGAATACAGCACTCAAAGTACAACTGTCTGTTCTTAGTTGTTCACCTTCGACACTCTTTATCGCAAGTTTATGCGGACGAAAATTCAGATTTAACTTCATGTATAAGGATCCCGACCGCTATTTTGACCGAATAAATGCCAGTATGATTTGAAAAGAAAAGAATTCTTTAACAAGAAAAATGCATTGAAAGTATACTGATTTCACAAATCAGCATAGTTAACCTCAGACCAGCCTCATACACAATATCACCAATCATCGCCAAATAGTAGTAAAACTAAAAAAAAAAAAAAAAACTTGGAGTGGGCTAATTTCTAATTCAGCAAAGGTTAACGGCTTCAATACGACCCTTCTCCAAAAGACCCCTCCCCACAAAAAAAAAAACAAAACAAAAAACAGCAAAAAATACTTTCTGGTTGTAGTATCTAATAAGGCTATTTCTTACACCTTCAAAAATTACAAAACACTTTCCTTACTCGCCGGGTCTGTCTCTCATTCCTACCGAGCGGAGGTGAAACGCGTTGTCTGTAAAAGCTTTCCGACTTTGTTTCATTATCTCCACTTTTGTTCGGCTACTATTCTACATCCTACTGAAACCGATCCTGTCGACATTCAGCTATAAATAAATATGTTCCGAATTATGACAATGAATATCATGATCGTAGTTTAAACGCGTGGTAACAAGAAAGCGGGTGATTTTAATAAACAGATAAGCATAAACTATAATATATATATATATATATATATATATATATATATATATATATATATATATATATATACTAGCCGAATTACCCGCGTCTTGCTGTGTTTCACAGATATTTTTGCAAAAAAAAATGATGATTGATTTTAAATCATTGCTATAATTTGTGGAGAAATTTCAATATTACTCAATGATCTTGCCGATGTGACATTAATCTTCTTGCGTTCTCCTTATATATTTTGAATAGGAGTCATTCCCTTGTTCAAATTTAAATTTAATTTAAATCAAAGGGAAAAAAATCAATGTTGGTGGGTCGTGAACCACCGGGGGACATCCTTTGATCAAAATGAAATATACTTATCCAAGTACCCTGGGTAATGTAGTTTCAGAATATATATGGTTACGGGGGTCCAAAACCCTACGAGGAGTTCGATAACAAACAAACAGACAGAGGCAATAACTTATATATATTTTAATAAAAAGGCTTAAACACTAATATTCCATGGTCATAATTTATTCCATTGGAATCGTAAATACGATCCAATTCATCAGACCAACAAATTCAAAAGGAAAACAGAAAAAAACCACTCCGGAAATAAAAACAGAATTTAGAGAGAGTGTAAGTATGAGGGGGGGGAGATTAAACCTTAACAGAGAGAATATTAGGGGAGGTGGGTGGAAGGGGTTTAAGTGAGAGAAAAGAATGAATGTTGTCGGATGTATAAAGATACATTTCGTGGTGACATACACACACCATAGACAATTTAATGTTAGAATAAGAGGGAGGGAAAGACGAGGTGGGGGAGACAGATGGGGCGAAGGAAAGTGAAATTGCGTTTACTTAAAGGGCCGCTTTGTAATTGAGAAAATTTGACAAATTTAATATCGACTACAGGTTACAAATCAAATATAAACATATAAAAAATAAATATAACGATTATCTAATCCAGCAAGGACCTATATTTTTATGTTCAAAAACACATGCGAATACACACATACACAATAACATATACACGTATATACACATTGAGTTCTACCTGGATTCTTCCTCTTGAATTTTTATTCTAAAATATACATGTATGGGTATTTATATATTTTGCATACGTATGTATATTTACGACTAATATTATCTCTCTCTCTATATATATATAGAGATAGATAGATAGATAGATATATATATATATATATATATATATATATATATATATATATATATATATATATATATATATATATATATATATTAACTGGGGCAGCGTTTTAGAGCAAGCCACCAACAATACCTCCTACCACATCATTAGCTTCAAATCTGTTAGCATGGTGGATTGGCACAAGATATCAAAGGCCTTTGTTGGTTGTAACGCTTTTCAAGGTCATGATGACGATTTAACTGAAATATATAGGGAGTCAAATTGATATTATCAATGATTTTTATTAATATCCTTTTGTATCAATAAACTTATTCAACAGATTTTTTTAAAGTCGTAGCAATTTTATCAAGTTTTGCTCTTTATTGTTCTCTCTCCTCACTCTTTTTCACAGTCTGTCTGTCTATATAACCGAGCTGTTATCCGTGCCACGGTGGAGTTGTGTATAAGCGGCTCGGATTACGGAATCGGAAAGCCGAGTTCGAATTCCAGTTGAATCCATTTACTTACATTACCCTTGAGAAAGGTATGAATCCTCTTCTCCCTCCAGCTATAGGTAAATAGCAGGACAGACAAATTCGCAAAAAGAACTGATTGTTAAGCTCTGGAAAGAAGGCAAATGTTACAAGAAAATCTCAGACAACATGAAAATTCCATTTACTACCATTAGTTCATTCATTGCAAGGTATAAAAAAACTGAACACTGTTGAAAACCAAAGAAGAATATGTGCTCCACGGAAGATTTCTTCAAGATCTTTGAGGAAATGAATGCGTCAAATTTAACAAATTCCAATGGTTACTCGTCAAGAGTTGCAGGATGATTTGCTTTCATCAGGAATTTGTGTCACTAAACGAACAATTAACAATGAAATTCATAGGAACAATCGAAAGTCACGTCCCTTTCGAAAAACTTCACTGTTATTGAAAAGACACGGAAATGTCAAGTTGAAATTTGTTCGTGAACATAGGGATAAGGAAAATCATATTGGGAAAGATTATTATAGACAGACGAAACCAAAATTGAGTTGTTTGGACATAATTCTAGAAATCATGTGTGGAGAAAAGATGGCGATAATTTCAAACAAAAGAACACACTTCTAACAGTGAAATTTTGTGGTGGCAGCATCACTGTTTGGGGATGTTTTTCTGCAAAAGTTACTCGTGACATAAATCAATAATTGATGGATAGTACGAATGCCGCAGCATATCAACATTTTTTTTAAGCATATTTAATGATTTCAGTTGAAAATCTTGAACTTCCTCCTAATTGAATCTTCCAACAAGATAATGATCCTAAGTACACTGCAAAAATCTACGAAGAAATGGCTTGTTAAAAATAACGTGAATATTCTGAAATGGCCAAGTCAGTCCCCAGATTTAAACCTAATCGAGAATCTGTGGCGTTATTTGAAAATTCAAATCCAATCGTGAGCTTCAACAAATATCTCGGATCTGAAGACAATATGCGAAGAAGAATGGAACAAAATGCCAACTAAAATTTGCAGACCATTACTTGAGAACTATAAGAAGAGGTTGGTTGATGTAGAAGTGAATAATGGCGATTCTACAAAGTCTTAAATGAAGATTATGTATTCTTTTTTGTATTGTACGAATACATTTTTCACCTATTAAAATGGATAAATGGGATTTATTTCTATTAAATCATTTTTTCTGTTTTCAATGCATATTCAATCATTATGCATCTGTGTACAGTTAATTATATGAAAAGTATATTTATTCATTAGTTGGAAATACAATTTGTTCGTCTACGAATATTTGTTTCCTCCCTGTTGTGTGTGTGTGTGTATATATATATATATATATATATATATATATATATATATATATATCAGTAAATTGCTGATTCATATTAATTTACTCATATTAATTCTCTCTCTCTCTCTCTCTCTCTATATATATATATATATATATATATATATATATATATATATATATATACACACACACACTATTTCAGACCTTTACAGCTAAGACAGACTATGTTTATTTCCACAGAGTCAACTCATCCTTATTTCCCTCGTGTTTTTCAATGTAAGAAGAGAGTTCTACTGAAAACACCTTCTTCCTAAGAACTGAGATTCTGCGGAACCGATTTTAGGTTGCTTCCCTGATCACTTCAATCTTGACCATTTCAAATCAAAGGTCAGTTGACTTCTTTTATCGTTATTTTCATAATCATAATCTATATCGGTATCACCATCTCATCCATTCATATCACCCACCTTATTCCGCATTACCATTTTTTGACTGTAACACTCTACATTGAGTGGCTCACAAGCCCAGTATAGTATGTGTCTCGTCCCAGATCATGCCAGAATAGACGTTTCACTCAATATTCTTCAGAGAAGCCAAGTGCAGGGTTGATTTGACAGATAAAATCATGGCCGCTGGGTGGAAACCCACGTGATACATTATTTCTTATCCAATCGGGAAATTAAAGTTGTCTTGAACGGCCACTCTTCTAGATCTTTTTGCATTAATGCAGGTGTCTCTTAGGGTTCTATCCTTGAACCTACATTGTTTCTAATTTTAATCAACAACCTTCTTGATATCATCAGTTCTCAAATCGGTACCTATACTGATTACACAACTATTTACTCCTGTCTTAATGGTAAATCTGATTGATTCATTAAAAAGACCTACAATCTGTTGTTAACTGGTAGAAGAAATAGCTTGCTAATTTTATTGCCTCCAAAACGAAACTGCACTCTTTTAATCGTCTTAGATCAACCATTTTTATCTTCCATTAGCATGGCTGCTGCTAACCTCCAGGAGAGTGACTCATTGCGCTTTTTTGGGCAAACGGAAAGATTATATTGAATCGATTGCTAGGTCTGCTGCTAGGAATGTTGGTTCACTGCGTAGTGCTAAACGAGTTTTCTCACCAGAGTTTATCGAAATAAAGGGTTCAATTCGACATTCCAACCACCTGAAAGCCGGAGACTACAACGGCCGAAACATTGTAATAAATATTACAATAGTCCGAATAATATGGTGTCTATCTTACACGTTTATAAGTTTACCATTCGTCCATGCATTGAATTTTACTGCTATATCTGCTCTGGTGCCTTCTGCTATGTATTCAGAGATTCTTGATAAAATCCAAAATAGAATTCGCAATGTTATCGGTCCTGACCTGGCATCTCAGCTTCAGTCATTTTCTCAAACGGCAATGTAGCCTCTTTGTACCTTTTTTTATAAATATTTTCATGGTAATATTTCTGATGAACTTTCCCCTTTGTTAATTAGATTTAACAAATTTAAGCGCAGCACTGGACTGGCAGTTAGATCTCATCGTTTTATAGTTGAAATTGCTAGATATATCCGTAAGTCCTATGCTAACAGTTTCTTCTCCCGCTTGTGGAACTATCATTATCTTGATTTGCATTTAACTTTGGTCTACAAATATTTAAATGCAAAGTCATTCATTATCTTTGGTCTTCTTAATTCCAGCTCTTTTACTCTTCGCTTTCCTTAATAATGTTTACTTTTCCGCATATTTTTTCACTTGCGTCTTAATGGCTTTATTGCCTTGCTTAAATGAAAAGATAGATAGATAGATAGATAGATAGATAGATAGATAGATAGATAGATAGATTGAAGAAGTTCTACCCTGTTCAGACAGCATTGAATTTTCGATTAGTTACGAACGTACACTGAATAATATAGTGGCACTGAAAAAAAAAGAAGATTGTGATTGACCATTAATATATGTTCCTTTCACATTCCAGTTCCCTAAAAGGTAAAAACCTACTTAGATTAGGAAAGGAACGGAGGTAAACATTACTATTTGTGTTTATTTGGGGTTATCAAGCGACTCGACCTATCAGGTCATGTGTCCGATTGTAGGTCGGAGTAAACGACTTTCTGTTGATAGGTTAAGCGATCGGTCAGATGAACTATTTCTGGAAAGCTACAAACGACAAGCATTTAAATTAAATAACCATTTCGGCAAATATTCGCCCAACCAAGTAAAGCGAAAAGAAACATTCTATCTTTTTATACCATTTTTTCTTTCTTTTGCTTATATATATATATATATATATATATATATATATATATATATACACACATAGTGTGTCCATAAAGTTCGTGTGCACTTTAAAAACATTTATAACTTTATTTGTATTTGCGATAGAAATAATCTGTAAAAAAATGTTATAATATACTGTTTCAACAAGATGGAGCTCCTTGTCACTTTACTCTGCGTGTTAGAGAGTTTCTAAATCAGGAATTTCCTTACAGATGGCTCGTAAGGGGTGGATCATTTTATTGCCCCCCCCCCACGTTCGCCAGATTTGACTCCATTAGATTTATTATGGGGAAACGTGAAAACAATTGTGTATGCAACCAAACCTAGTTCATTACAAGATTTGAAAGGTAAAATAACTAATGTGATTTCAGACATTACTGTAAATCAGTTGGCAAATGTTTTCCGTAAACTGCAAAATCGTATTACCCTTTGTATTGCCAATGATGGAGGACATGTGGAAAATTAAATAAAATTTAAAAAAAAAATTAAAAAATATAGATTTACTTCTTTCTAATCCTTTTTACAAATTATTTCTATTGCAAATACAAATAAAGTTATGAATTTTTTTTTTTTGCATACGAACTTTATGGACACCCTCTGTGTGTGTGTGTGTGTGTGTGTATATATATATATATATATATATATATATATATATATACACATATATATATATGTTGATAATATTAGTGGTCAATATATATATATGTTGATAATATATGGTCAATATATATATATATATATTTTCTTTTTGGACAAAGAGTGTGTAAGAACTGTCCGAATGTTCTGTGTTTCCGAGCGCTTTCACCTTTTAGCCATTATCAAGGATGATTCAATTATCAGCTTAGTAGAGTGTGTGTGTTCTGTGTATGTTCAGTGTGTGGTAGTGATGTTTTTAGTTTCCGAATACGGTTAGCACATTGTGGCTTTGTTCATAGTTAATATTGTTAAGAGTTGGCTTTTTTCTTTTTATTATTAGAACTTCCATTATTTTTAGTCTTTTTTTTTGCAAGTGGATGCAGTTAATATATTTGTGTTTTCTACTAGTATGTTCCTAATAGTGTCAGGTAAATCTGAGTGTGTGTTTAAATGTGTTCTGATGGAACTGTGATCGGATAGGTGTAATGTAAGACGTCTGGATAAACATGTGGTTGTGTCGCCGATGTAATTATTTATGAGTCTGGTTTGGTGAGGAACGCAGTTCGGAAACTAAAAACATCACTACCACACACTGAACATACACAGAACACACACACTCTACTAAGCTGATAATTGAATCATCCTTGATAATGGCTAAAGGTATAGCCGAAAGCGCTCGGAAATACAAAACATTCGGACAGTTCTTACACACTCTTTGTCCAGAAAAGAAAGCTCTTGTCAGAACACAAGAAAAATTAAATAAAAAGCTCAACCGTAGTACCTTGTCTGTCGTTTTAATGAAACATGCATATATATATATATATATATATAAAATTTATCAGAGTTAACCTATATAAAAGACAATATTTATAAATATAAATGACAATAGAAAACTGTTGTTATTGCTGACGCGTTTCGTCCAATGTGGACTTTATCAAAGCAAAAACGAAATGAATTAAAGAACGTAATAATAATAACACAAAATAGAATGTTCTTAGCATTCTTAAAGTGAATGTAATGATGAACACGACTGGATTTCGAACTCGGCTCTCCGATTCATCAATCTGAGCTGCTAACAATCACTCCGCCTCTCTGCTTTTCTATATAAAGGGATTAAGTATGGTGGCAAAACAGTGAAGACTAATTAGTAACTTACATGAGAGACATGTCAGCAATGTTTCCGTTGACCCAAATCCACGTCGAAGAGCCGTCATTTTTATGTAGTCCTGTCCACCATCCAGACTGACCCATCTGATATGACTGCCATTCAATCCAATAAGACTGTCCAAGAAAGGGATACGAAACAAGAAATTATATTTTTTTTTTTGCTATTTTCTTCTTATTATTGTTATCCTATTGTAATTGTGCTTGTACCCCCCACCCTTCGTTAGTTCGCACGACCGTTACGCCTCGCGAATACCTAATAAATACTGGACTGTTCCATTTTGGTCGCGTGGGAAAACGGGAGAAGAAACTATTTGGTTTCAGTGAGAAAAATGAAAGAAAGAAGGAAGATAGAAGCAGGGAGAGAGAATCAGATTAAGCTGTTAAGAACAGATACTATAAAATATCTTAGCCAAAAGACCGAGAGTTTTGGCGACCGCGATAAAACATCTTTTTCAGACGTATCCTCTAACGCTATATCCTTTAAAGCTATCTCCCTTAACACTATAACCTTCAGCGCTATATCCTTTAACGCTGACAAAGGCATAACGACAGAAACCGAGTAAGGCAATCGCCAAAAATCCATTACCATAAATAAAATAACATCGTTTGCAGAATTGTTAAGAAAAATGTTCGTAAGACAAAATTTTGATCCCATTCAAAAAGGAGATAATACAAATTGGTTTGATGCTATCCTTTAAGGTTATATCATTTAACGTTATATCCTATGAAGCTCCTGTCACGTTATATCCTTTAACGCTATATTCTTTAAGGCTATATCCTTTAACGTTATATCCTTTAAAGCTATATTCATTAACACTATATCGTATAAGGCTATATCCTTTAACGCTATATCCTGTAATACTTCTTTCACATTATATCCTTTAAGACTATATCCTTTAACAATATCCTTTAAAAGTTATATCTTTTAAATCTATCTCCCTTAACACTAGGATGGCCAGCTCCTTTGACATCTTTATTTACATTATGCCGTTTTTTTTGTTTCTTTAATATATTCAATATTCAAGTCAGGAATAACAAGTCTGAAAAGAAATTCACAAATATTAGTATACCACATACTGAAAGAAAGTGATTATATATATATATATATATATGTGTGTGTATATATATATATATATATATATATATATATATATATATATATATATATATATATATAAATTATGTGTGTGTATATAAATAGATAGATAAATAGATAGATAGGGACATAAACACAAGTATTATTGCTTGTGAGTAATTTTTTCAATGCATTTACCCTATGAATAGCCTAGGTGTCAAAAACGACAAATTCGGCCATTCAAGGTAAAACCTCAAATATCAGCTATTCCACTGAATATTTTTAAAGAATTAAATCTGTTAAGCATCTTTACTAAAATTCAATAATTGTCCATAAGCCTCAGCATCGAACCAAAACTAGTTATTCCATAGTAATTTGTTGAAAATTTGAAGTTGTCGAAAACGACACCTCATCCATCCTAGTGTTAACACTATAACCTTCAGCGCTATATATTTTAACGTTATATCCTTTAACGCTGACAAAGGCCCGACAGTTCAAGGCATTTATTTTATCAAACTTGCCATGAATAGGAAGGTGTTAAAATGTAATACAGAGGTCCCCTTCGTTGTTTTTGACTTTGTTGTCAGGTTGTATATTTATAAACATGCATTTACTTCCATTTAATATTTAATTTAAAACATTTTCTTTGTACGTTAATAAATATTCACATTTCTTAATTTTAACCATTAATCTTGTTTGTCATTTAGTGGATACATTTTTGGGGGCACACTGTAAATACATTTATATTCACGATAGGCTAGTGGTTAGAATATTAGTATTCAGACCATAAGTTAATTTCTTAGGGAGGTGACTTATTGATAATATTGGCCTGGTGAGATAATTTCATGACATGTGGCTGAAAAGGGCTTGGCTTAAAACTTTGTTCCAAATATGGAAGCCGAAACCGTTCTAAATAGCTTGGCTGCAATAATTCTGATTGTATCAACATCAAGATAGCATAAATTATATCAAGATTTATAAATATTGATATTAAATAATTTTAAATGCTTATTATTCCGTTCAAGGTCGGTGTATCCTAGTACTGTATACACATCACAATACTTTATTAAATAGTCATCGTCAGTAAGTACAAACAGGGCCCTAGCTCAATTTTTAACCGATTGGATGATCGTTACATCTCTCGTGTCGTTACTACGCACTAAAAAATAAAATAGCTAAAAATATTTGCACGCTCTGGACCCTGACAAAATGTGAAAATAAACGTCACAACAAGAAATGACGATTCTAATCCTGTCTCAATATATTTCGCTGTTTATTAAGAGATCCATTTATACCATCTGGGGGCCGTTCAATAAAAAGCCGAATCTGTGATCACCTATGCAGATCCACAACCGGAAATCCTTAATGTTTATTTTTGTTGTCAATAATACCTTTTAGGGAAAGATAGTGGAGTTGTTTCCTGTTAACTTCTCCCCGAGCTGGAATTCAGTTTTTCTATTTTTATACTAGTTGTTACTCAAAGCAGAGATCCTAATTTACTCTACTATTTAACCCATAGCTTGGGGGTAGAGAAAAATATTCATCCCTTTTTTTATCTGAAGTTCAACCTTTATAATTACTTGATCACTTGAGGCAGAGGGTTACCTGAATTTCCAACACAATTTATCCTTATATGAAATAAGATAACGAAAGAACCCTAGACCTTGAACAGGTTAAATTGAAACATCGAGAAAACACGCTTTTGGGAATCGGTTTC